GGGGGAGTTTCCTGATTAACCACTCATGATTTTATCTGGGAGCCATCGGCCAAAAATATGTTAAAGCCCCTCTTTCTGGGTTGGAGGGGAATTTTCTGCTGGCGAGCAAAGTCTAAATCCAGGAAACAACTGCATGCCCCCGAATCAATTATGGCTGTCACTTCCACGGTCCTTTCTGGAAGCTGAAAGGAGATGGGCACAACTAAGTATTGGGAAGGACTGACATTGCCAATAGACAAAGAAGAAAAAGAGGTACACTTACTCATTTTCTGAGGGCAGGATCGTACCATATGGCCGGCTTCCCCACAGTAGAGGCAGAGGTTCTGAGAGCGTCTCCGCTGGCGTTCTTCTGGCGATAATGTGGGCCGAGCCAGGCCTAGTTGCATGGGTTCTTGAACGTCTCCTGGAAGTGGATTCTGGACACTTGGTCTGGGTGGTTGGCTGGGGCCTTGGAATGGACCCCAGGTGTTTCCGTGACCCTGGCCGGACCTCTCAAACCTGCGTTCCGGTCTTCGGTCAATTTTTATCGTCAGGGCAATTAGGTCCTCTAATGACTCGGGAACCTCCACCCGGGCCAGTTCATCCTTTAGGGGTTCTGACAGCCCCATGCGGAACTGGTGCAGCAAAGCAAACTCGTTCCAGCGTGTGTCCCCCATCCAACGCCTAAATTCAGAGGCGTGTTCCTCTGCCGCCCGACGGCCCTGTCGGAGCGTGTATAAGGTCGCTTCGGCAGAGGCTGCCCGCTGCGGGTCATCATACAGGATGGCCATCGCTTCAAAAAAATCATTGACCGTTCCCAGGTGAGGGTCATTGTTTCCCCTTAGCCGATGGGCCCAATCTTTGGGTTCACCCTGCAACAGTGAGATTATAAATCCTACCTTCACAGATTCAGTTAGAAAGCTACGGGGTTGAAGTTCAAAAAATAGGAGGCAGGACTCACGGAATGACCTGAAGCGTGTGCGGTCCCCGTGGAAACGCTCCGGTAAGGGTACTCGGGGTTCCGCCATAGGCAGCGGGGCGGAGGCCCCTGAAGCTGGCTCAAGAGCGGCCGGGGGTGCGGAAACCGGGGCCCGTGGGGCTGGGTCAGATATGGAGCAGGTCTGGAAACGATTTTCCAGCTGCATACATTTGTCCTGCAAGGCTGCTACGGCCTGCGTCAAGTTAGATAGATGCCTGCAAATTTCCTCCAGCAGGGCCCTCCTCTAGGCTCAGTCATGGCCTTCTGGTACTGTAAGGGACCGCCCGGCGACACCACTAGCACTCCACTGATCAGGCGTCCCCAGCGCACGGAGTCTAAGCCCCAGAGTACTTGTTCACCAGGGCCCCTGATGGTGGGGATGGACTTGGAGTACCCCGGGACCAGGTCGTGACTACTGAGGATACCTGTCAGTGGTAGGGGTATTCGCCAGGGGCTCCCACGGGAGAGAGCCTGATATGAGGAGGTCTGGAGACCCGTTGAGAGGGATGGATGGCTGAGCAAGTGCAAAGTCAGGCAGGGGGTCGGTAACTATGGGGACGGTGCGGTACAAAGCAGCGGGCAGAGAATAGTCGGGTCACACGCCAGGTCAGCAACAGCAGATCAGGTCCAATAGGGGGCATTCAGGAGAGAGGTCAGGCAAAGCAAGGGTCTGGGCAGGAGAATACAGCAGGGATCGCCTGCGCCGAGACCAGCGCCGCGGCGATCCCCGACACCAGGTGTCTTTCATACAGGTAACAAGCTGAGATTAAAAGCAGTCTCTTAAAGGGAGTGCTGCTAATCTCATTTTGTTACTTGTATAAAAGACACCTGTCCACAGGAGCAATCAAACAATCAGATTCCAGATAATTACCTGTATATACCTAAATCAAACTGTAAACACTGGGCTTTTTCAGCAAAGCAATTAAACCTACTCTGAATAAGATATGGAAAGATTCCTAGAACTCTATGTGCTGCGTAGAAATATTTACCATACTAAAACTTTTTTTTTTTTACCATTTTTTACCATACTAATACTATATTTTTTTAAATACTATATTTTGGTTCTGAATATAGTAAATAAAGATATTTGGGCAAAAAATACTGCATTCCCTTTAAAATGAACTCCAGGCAAATATTAGAGGTACAAATGAATGCAACTTTGTATTCATTAATACATCAGTTAATGTGTTTTTAAATGTAATGTAATTACCTACATTTGATGGCGCAGTGTAGGGGTGGGTTTAATCAGTTAACATGCATCTAACATATGATTAATAATTAGTATTAAACTTAATCTGTAACCTAACTTTTAAAATAAACTCCTTAACAAGCAGTTACTCCTGCTGCTGCTGTGCTCCAATAGACATCAATGTGGCTGCCTGCATGGAGCATCTGTACATCCCCATGCAGGTAAACATGGCCCTGCATGAGCGCCCTGTGTGAACGAGGCCTTATATGCATTTAAAGGAAATTTCTAAATGCATGTGATCATTTTTAATGGTATCATTCACAGTGAGGGTTCATCTAAGTTTAGGCACACTCTGTTTAGCTATGTTTAGAAAAAATAGAATTCTGTTTGCCCAGGAGCCTTTTGGAAGCTCTAAACATGCCTAAACATGTCTAAACATTCTTTAGACTAGGAGCATCTAAACACAAGAAAATTTATCTGGAAAGACTAAAGACCTGTACACAAGATGAGAAAATCAGACAAAAAATACCGCTTTCAGGGCGATTGACCGATAATCTGATCATTAATATACAGCTTTCAAGAGCTGATCATGACAGTTCATGCGACAATATCCGAAGGTACAAATGCTAATTTTTTTCTCCAATGCCAGAACAAATGATTTTCGTTTAATCAGTACAGTATTTGTCCAAGGCCATGCATGCTCAGAAATGACAGAATACATTACAAAACGATACAATACATTATATCACTTCTGATGTTGTAATCTGTTGTACAAGAATTTTCGTAACTTTGGTAACCTCTTCATTTATGTGACTAGCATGCAAAAAAAAACCATTTGACCATTTATACGATATTCTCATCATGTGTACGGGGCTTTAAAGTTGTTTATACTTCCTAGATCACTTCTCCTGCATTTAAAAAAGCTAAACATAGAAGTGCCAATGTGAATGAAATCTAACTGTCAATTTTGCTGGACAGCTTGGTCTGTTATAGAAAGCATAAAAATAACAGATCTACCAATCCAGGCAGGATTAACAGGTAATAAAACAATATAATGATAGGAGTCAGGAAAATGAATGCTTCTCTTTTAATGCTACTGAAAGAATTGAAAGATTACATCAAGTATGTTATTTTTATTTTCGCCATAATTACATTTTAATGCTGAATGCCTCCATAACAAATGAACTATTACATAGCCCAATTAGGTCTGTTAGAGGGCTGTACACTGAGACCTTTCATGCTTTAGTATGAGGAATGTCAATGTTTGCTCCAGTGCCGAAGGTCAACTTAGCGTTGCAGTTAGAATTTATATAAAGAGCAACATCCAACAATAAAGTGACTGGTCTTAAAAATCACGTTTCTCTCTATTGTTCTAAAATCTTGAGAAATAGAAAAAAATATATAACTAAAAAGGAGGTGAAAATCTAAAAGATTCATACTACTATAATTACTTTCTGAAACTAGGTTCTGCTCTAATCAAACAGTACCTTTTATGTCATATATGCTGCATAGATAACAACAATCATTTCCTGTTCTTTTGATTGCCAGCCAATGCAGCCTTATTTTATCTTCTAGAAGGAAAGCTTTAATCATTTTGAATGTTATGCAAGCAACATACATTCCAGTAATGCCAAGACGTTCTGTTTCTCTGGTGTTCTTAGAAAATAAACTGCTGCTAGAAATTTTGTTTCCATTGTTCATCTCAATAGTGTTTTACCACAGAGTACTAACTTACCTACACACAAGGGACCCTTATATTTCTACCATAAATAATCCAATGTCTGAATAGCTGCTTTTCCATACAGTACTGTGGACAACACTAGATTGTCAAAAATGTATTTAAAGAGAAGTTCAGAAATGTAAAGAAACCAAACATTCATACTAACCTAGGTGGATGCAGCATCAATCCAAGGATGCATCTGTCCCCCGCCACCTCTAAGACTGAGAAATGAACAATCATAGACCGCTGATCGCTTAGTTCTCAGTCTTTGGTGAGCAGAGTCAGTGACTGCAAGTCACCGGTTCTCTGCCCTGCTCCTCCAGTGCTCACTGGAGCGCCTGGCTGTGGAGGGGATAGGAAAGGCTAGCTCAGCTTCTCAGTGGCTCAGTGGCAGACACCTATGCCAGAAACAGGCCGGCTGCTGAAGTTAAGCAAAGTTAACCATTTCAACCTGTCTGTTTTTTTTATTTATTTATTTATCTATCCTAGCAAGCCTGTTAACCTAAATCTAGTCCCTGAGTTCACTTTGGAACCTTCTGTTATTTTCCCCAGTAAAAGTAAGTTTATATATAAGGCAAAATGTAGATTTTAGGAATGCTATGTGGTGTTCTTTCAAGATACAATGTACATAACTGCTACCTGCATTCTCAGCCCAACCTCTGTGACACCAGGGGTGTGGAAGTTATTGTAACCACTAGCCTTCCAGAGGATTTACCCCCCCCCCCACCCCTTCCTGAACAGGCCAGTTTTTGCGATACAGTCTGCATTACTTTAACTGACAATTGTGCGGTCATGCAGCGCTGCACCCAAATTAATTTATGTCCTTTTTTTTAGCACAAATAGAGCTTTCTTTCTGTGGTATTTGATCATCTGTGCGGTTTTTATTTTTTTGCACTATAAACAAAAAAAATTACAATTTTGAGAAAAAAAACAATATTTTTGGCTTTTTGCTATCAATATGTCCAGTAAAAAAATTTTAAAAATCTAATTTTGTCACAAATTTAGGCCAAAATATTTTCTGCTACATGTCTTTGCCAAAAGAAATCTCAATAGTGTAAATTAATTGGTTTGCGTGAAAGTTATAGCGTTTACAAATGTTTTGGGTTTTTTTTACTAGTAATGAGCATCAACTTATAGCGGGACTGCAGCGGGCATTCTGACACTGGGGGGGGGGGGGGGACTGACTCGGTGTCACTGACATCCTCAGTGACACCAATACAGTGATCAGTGCTAATAAAAATCACTGACACTGTACTTAATGGCACTGGGCAGGAAGGGGTTAACATGTGGGGCAATCAAAGGGTTAACTGTGTGCTGTTTCACTGTGTGCTGCTGTGTGTGTTCTTTCCACTGTAAGCACACTGATTTGTATGGCTCTGCTGTGCACAGCCATCCAAAGCAGTGTACACGAGCTGACAGGGAGGAGAACTGTTTTGTTTACAAAACCTGAGATGCTTGGCAATCTGAGATGCTTGGCAATCACCCCCATCTGAGATGCTTGGCAATCACCGGGTGACGGTGAGTAATCACCATCTGGGACTCGGTGATTGACAGCTCAGCCAGCGAATGGTGGAACTGCACAATCACGTATATATACGCGATTTTGCACACCCATGCCGCTCTCTAGCAGGATTTCTGCTATACGGTGGCGCAGAAGTGGTTAAAAGGGGGGCCAACTTTTTTTAGCAGCTGCCTTCGTGAATCACTTGTCAAATATTACAGGGAATATGCACTGGTATCAACATGTAAAGGGACAGGACACCTATGGTTTCCAAGCCATGTTGTTAAAAGCCCATATGCCCGATGTGCCATGATGGTAATGTTCAGGTGGAATCTGCAAGCAATTTTGACTTGTTGCTGTTAAAAAAGCAGCAGATTACAAGCTGAAGACTTGTAGCAAAAAGTAGGACTTTAAGCAAAACATTTTTTATTCATTTTGGAAAGGGAGGGGTTTTTTTTACATCTGTGTCCCACTCGGGAAATTTACCTTCACTCCCTGTTCCATATAAGGTAGAACAAACATGAAAAAAATATCCTAGGGTGTTGCAGCATCACAGCATCATTGGTGGTGTACTATGCCAATGGGGCATGCAGGATGTCAAAAATTGCGTGGATCCCTTTTTCAATTAAAAAATGCACATTTAGTGAAAGATCTTATTAATAATAATAATGCAGGAGTATGTTACCATTGCACTAAAGCATCATCAAGAGTGGACAGACAACATCATAGTATGCAGTTGCACAAGTACAAAGAATAAGCAGGCTTGTCATACAAGCCTCAGAAGTAGAGCAAATCATTTGTTCTCACAAATCAGAAAAACAGATTTTGAGGTGATATTTCCAGGCATGCAGTAACTCAACTTCAAAGCAATAGCAGATTATCGGAGAAATAAGGGAAGTCTTTTTTGTTATTAAAGTCAAACTATAATGGTTTTGGTCAATATTATTTTAAAATTTACATTTATATTTTTTTCATTATACTGTATGCATCCTATCTTTCTGCTATACATAGATATTTAAAATGTGTGTCCGAGCAAAAAAGAAATAAAATGCAGTACATCTCTGTCATCTATGTACACATCACCGTATTTTATCTTTTTAAGGATCATGCAAGTACAGAAAAACCTGTTGATCTGCCAGAAATGGACGCTGCTCCTAAGTCCCATGTTGTGGGCTGACATCAAACAGCATTTTGTAGACTAAGTGGTGTCTGTCCTGTCCAGTTTTTTTCTTAGTTTAACCGCTTGCCTGCCGCCCTATAGAATAAATACTGCTACAGGGTGGCAGGGCTGCGCAAAATTACATATATATATATATATATATATATATATATATATATATATATGTGTGTGTGTGTGTGTGTGTGTGATTTGTATTTCCGGGCAGGGGGTGTGTGCACACCACCCTACCCGCGCCGCCATTGGTGGCTAGGGATGTAAATCACTGGGTCCTGGCCGGAGATTCCCCACCTGCACACAGCGATCGCCATGTAAAGCTGACAGGGGAGAGACCTCTGTGTAAACAACACAGGTCTCTCTCCTGCCAGCAAGGACATGCTGCTTTGTATTTCTCTGCACAGCAGAGAAATACAGAGCAGCATGTCTTCGTAGTAAAAACAGCACACAGCACACATAGTAAAACACACACAGCACACAGTTAACCCTTTGATAAATCAAAAGGTAACCCCTTCCTGCCCAGTGTCATTAGTACAGTGTCAGTGCTTTTTATTAGTACCGATCACTGTATTAGTGTCACTGGGGATGTCAGTGGCAGTTAGTCAGCTTCCACCCAGTGTCAGAATGCCCGCCGCAGTCCCGCTATAAGTCACTGATCGCCGCCATTACTAGTATAAAAAAAATAAACATAAAAATTCCAGTATATATACCGCCATTTGTAGATGCTATAACTCACATAAACCAATAAATTTAAATGTATTGGGATTTTTTTTTAGCAAAGACATGTAGTAAAATACATTTTGGCCTAAATTTATGACAAAATTAGATTTTTAACATTTTTTTATTGGATATGTTTTATAGCAAAAAGTAAAAAAAAAAAAAAAAAACATTTTTCTCAAAATTGTCAGTCTTTTCTTGTTTATAGTGCAAAAAAATAAAAATGCAGATGTGATCAAATGCCACTGAAAGAAAGCTCTATTTGTGGGAAAAAAGGACATACATTTCATTTATGTACAGTGTTTCATGACCGCTCAATTGTCTGTAAAGTAACGTAGCGCCGTATCACAAAAAATGGCCTGGTCAGGAAGGAAGGTAACTCCTATGGAGGGCAAGTGGTTAAAGAGGAGCTTCAATGTCCCCCCCCCCCAAAAAAAATGAAAAAGACAGCAGCTACAAATACTGAAGCTGATGACTTTTAATATAAGGACAGTTACCTGTCCAGGGATCCAGCACCGTCCTCACCTAATCAAATTCTTCAATTGGTTTTGAGTCCAGGATCCAGCATCGTCACTAAGGAAAATGGGCTGTGAAGCCTTGCAACTTTACAGCTGGCTTCCCACTGTGCAAGCACAAGCCATACTGTGCTTTTTGAATGGTCCTGCGGTCTTCTGGGACCTGTGATGTGTGCCAGAAGGCTGCAGGCAAGGGGGGGGATGAACTTCTGCTTGGATCATCTAGGCAATCCGGGCAGATGGAGCCGGGTCAAAACTAGGTAAGTTAAAGGGGGGGGGCAAACAAGGAACTTCACCTTTTGGGTAAAGTTCCCCTTTATCCTTAAAATTTTCTATGGCTGTATACGTGAATGAATTCCAGAAGTTATTTCATATTATTTACAGCAAAATGAAAATATAAATACATAAAAACGGACCCAGACCTGTTGGCTACATCAATATAAGCAATATTTATTATACAATGTATTTACTATTAATAAGAAAGTTTAACGACTGAAACAACTCTATTTTTAGCAGATATGAAAATAATAAAGTTTCTAGGAACAATATAAATTTCACTTCCACCATTCTGAAGCCTTGCTAGACAGATGACTCAGGTTCTTTCCTTGGAGGGTACAAAATCAGGCTCTCTCTTCTGCGTAGGTTCCAATTAAGCTTTGGCAATAAAACCTGAAAGCTGAGGTTTGTAGCTGCCCACACTCCAGTGAGGCAGCCTGTGGTTCTTTCTTGTGGGAGGGTTAAAGCCTCTGAGGCTGCTGCCCCGTGAGGCAGCCTGTGGACTGTGTAGCTGTTGCCTGAGGTCCTAGCTGTAGCAGAGCTGAGGACCTGAAATGATCTTTCTGAGGAGCTGGCTGTAGGAATTCACCACATGGGATCTGGTCTGGAGAAGGATTGTCTCCCTCCCTGGACCATGTCTGGAGCAAGCTCAAAGGTCATAGCTGTCCAGGGGATGTGTGAGTAAATTGTGATCCCTGGTGACTGGGATGCAAGTGCCAGAGGTAGCGGTGGACTGAGATAGCTCACATAGGATCTCAGAATACTGTCTGTTCCCCTAACTTCAGCAGAAACCTGGAGAGGAAGCTTAGAGTGCCCGGGTGAAGAGTTAGGACTAAATACTGCCCATTTACAGCTGCTTATCAACTATGCTAAGCGGTACCTCTCAAAAGACATTGCATCATATCCTAGCCAGATTAGTTATAGTATTATTATTCACATATCTTTTAACCTCCCTGGCGGTATGATTATGTCAGGAATTTTGTACCAAAAGTGGTACCATTTTTTTGCATGGAAATATGTATTTTTTTTATTGTAGGCCTGTAATTTAGGAATAACTCCCTGAAATCTGTCCGGACAAGAGTCTAGTAAACATTTCAGATATGATAAAACTTGAAACACGAAATCATAAATTATAATTTAATAAATACTCATAAAAAATAAATAATATAATAATAATAAAAAATTTAATTCAATAATATAATCAAACCAAAAACACTGAAATTTGAAATATAGCACCAGGTTCGCACATCACTGAGCAAAGTCGCAAAATCGTTTTCAGTGTCTGATGACGAATTCCCCCCATGAATCATTATCACTCAATTCTGCAAGTGGTTCTGATTTACTATCACTGTTCTCTAGCCGGTCTAAAACCGATTTTGACCTAAAGGGACGCTTTTTGGACGACATGGACATGAAGTTTCTAGGCAGAAAGAACAGTCAAAATGCAGGCAGGGCACAGGACAAAGCAGTAGGGACAAAATGTATGTGAAATGCTTTGATACAGGAATGTTTTGCTATGAAATAATCGTTTTAAAAAAAATGTCATTTTTTTTTTAATTTTCAAATTTGCCGCCGGTGCCGGCGCCCGTACGTCCCGACGTCACAGGGACCGGAACACGGAAGCAAGATGCCGGCATCGGCCGGAGGAGATGGCCAGGGACGCTGCAGGGGACACATCGCGGGAGCGAAGGACAAGGTAAGCGCTGTAGGGAATCTCTGTGCAATGCTGCATGGTAAGCCCGAGTGTAGCTCGGGGTTACCGCTTTTGGTACTGAAACTTTACCCCGAGCTACACTTGGGAATACCACCAGGGAGGTTAATGTCTATATGCACTGTTTATTGCTGACTTTGCAGCTTCATGAGGTAATCCCAATCTAGTGGTACAGAATTCTATTCTAAGTTACCTTGGCATAGTGATTATGCTGTCCAGTGGACAGTGTCTAAACCTAAATCTTCTGTATGTTCATTTATACTCAAACCACCATTTATTCTAACCCATACCAATACACTTAAGTTTATTTACCAGTAAACGGTCTTGTGTCTTTTTCCTGGTGCTAATTCACAAGCACGTTAACGGTATCTAAACTTGTGTTCTTATAAATGCCTGCAGTAACTTTCATTCAACCAGTTGTGTCAGAGGGGCTGAGGTTGTTCTTGCGGGTTCCTTTGAGGGTAGCGCTACATAATTCTTCCCTACTCTAATCAAAATGAGAAAAAAGTTTAGATTTAAATGCATTTTAGGTAAATTAATTATTTCATTCAT